CTCACCTAGATAATAGTCCCCTAGGGGGCATGTTGTGATATCTGGAGACATTTTTGGTTGTCACACAGGGCTGGTGGGAATCCCACTGGCATCCTGTGGGCAAAAGCCTCTAAACCTTCTTCAATGCAGAGCACAGGCCCTCCCAAAATAAAAAATTATCCAGTCCCAAATGTCAGCAGTGTGCACCCTCTGAGGTGCCCTGCCCTAGTTCCGTACACCCCCTTCAGAGCAACAGGCTGGAGAGAGTGGGCCATTTGCTAGTCCCATGTCACCGGCCCCTCACTCTTCAGCTGCTGTGCTCTGTCCTCACCACTAGAGCCACAGGGGCTGTTTATTTGATCACCATGTGGTATATGTATTATTTCAATCTCTTTTTTATTTATAAAAATATTTATTGGCTTTTCTGGTTCACTCACTGCTCATCTTGTCACTCGGATAGCTCTCTTTAACTTAAAGCTCCCGTGAGGCTCTTCTTCCCTTGTCCATCATTAAATATCCTGTCTCAAGAAATAGGAGTGGTCTCAGCCCTTATTAACCACCACCTGCATACAGCCTACCTGGGCAATCACCTTTACTTCTATCTGTACCCCTGGCTTCAACTTCTATCTGAGAAAGACTTCGGTTCTCAATTCCAGAATCTGTTTTTGTTTTTTAATGGAACATGAGATATAAAGCTTGATATCTCTTTGGAATGTCAGACAAGGCAGTCGCAGCTTGTCACAGTCTTCTATTCTCACCAGGGTTACTTGTTCTGAACCCCCCAACAGTATGGATGTTAACACCATATACCCGGCCACTCAGCAAAGAAGAAGAAGAAGAGGGGGAGGAGAAAATCTGTTCATGACTTTCTATCCCTTCAAAGTTACCATACAGTAATATGGTTTATAATCCCGAAATGTGTTCCAAACCATTTCCTCCTTTCAATCTTCACTGCTATATTTAATTTAGAATCTAGCATCAACTCTTTTCTGAATTATTTGACAGCTACTTAACTCCTCTCTAACTTCAGTCATCACCCATTTAACACAGGCTTCAATTCTCTTTCAAAGACTCTTCTTTCTCATAACAAAAAGTCTAGATTTTGATTCAGCACATCCCTATTAGCCTAACTTTATCTATCCCCAGCCTCATTTTGAGCTACCTGCAGTTCTCCAAATTCACAGCCTTCTTTCCAGCTTCCATTGTTTCTACCAGGAAGATCTTTCCGTTCAGTTTCCACCTGGGACACCATCACCTGACCTTCAAATTGCATATCTTTTCAGAATCAAACTCATCTATCCCAGAAGAATTAAATATTTTCTGTCTGAATTCCCATAGTATCTTTCATAGATTTCTATAATAGCTCTAATGCTTGCTATTTAATTTTGTATAACCATTATTTATTTATCTGTTTGTCATCCCAAGTAGACTGTGAGCTCTTTAAGACTAGATTGGATTGTGTCTTTTTCATACCTTATCAAACTTTTCAGTATATATATATGTTCTCTGTTAATAGGTGAGGACATAGGAAGACTGAAAATGTAAGTTGAATATTCTAAAACATGTGAGTCAAACATTTATATAAGCTGCAGCTATTCCTCTATCATTTCAAAAATACTCCTCATTTCTTAATAGGTATTGAAAATGACAATGTGTTCACCCAAAATTCACATTAACATGTTTTATAAAGTATGTAAGGAAAGAGAGAAGGCTGGTAAATTAATGGAAAGAGGAGCAACATACAAATGAATATTTTTTGACCTTGTGATGCCTTAAGTTGTACAATCTGTTGACATGGCATTAGAAGAAATCATTTTATTCTCTAAATAAACCCAATTTAGAAGCCTTCTTCTTTTTCTCTCTAGGCCATAAGTAAGTCTAGCATTTCTCAAAGTTCATTAATTTTGAAATAAAAAAAAAAGTTACTGTCACATTATATGAAAAAAAATCGTGGTTTAAAATTTACCTCCTAAAATGGCTTGATTCATAATTAATGATGCAATTAGGAAAGAAAGAAATCCTTTTAGATGAAATAAAAATGAAAGATGCTTATATTCTGTAATTTTAACATAGCTAAAGGTTGGGAAAAAATAATAAGTTTACAAACATCCAACAATATAATGACAAGCCAACTTAGATAAACTTTAATTTTGAGAAGTTAACTTTTATTAAGGATTTAAACTGTGAAAAATCATAAATTCTTAGTCTTCATTTATGTAAAATAGATGAGATTTCATTTAGTGTTTCTTCACATATGGCACAACTCCTTACAACTAAAAACTAGAAGCTTCAAGATCTAATCTAGGATTTCTCATAAACTTACTGTCTGAGTTTTGGTTTTCTAACCTTCCAGGTATCATTACTGTTACCTATAAAATGGCATAATAATGCCTGTCATATTTCCCTAAAGAGATTTGCTGAGGGGCAGTGCCTGTGGCTCAGTGAGTAGGGTGCTAGTCCCATATACCAAGGGTGATGGGTTCAAACTCGGCCCTGGCCGAACTGCAACAAAAAAAAATAGCCAGGCATTGTGGCAGGTGCCTGTAGTCCCAGCTGCTCAGGAGGCTGAGGCAAGAGAATCACCTAAGCCCAGGAGGCCGAGGTTACTGTGAGCTGTGTGACGCCAGGGCACTCTACCAGTAGGGTGATACAGAGAAAAAACAAAAGATTTGCTAAGGAAAAAATTAACAAAATTTGGCATTATAATATTTCAATGTTTGTGGGTGGCTCCTGTGGCTCAGTGAATAGAGTGCCACCCCATATACCAACCTGGCCAAACCACAACAAAAGAAAAAGCTGGTCATAGTTGCAGGCACCTGTAGTCCCAGCTACTCGGGAGGCTGAGGCAAGAGACTCACTTAAGCCCAAGAGCCGGAAGTGCTGTGAGCTGTGATGCCACAGCACTCTACCCAGAATGACAAAGTGAGACTCTCTTTAAAAAAAAAAAATATATATATATATATATACACACACACACACACATATATTTCAATGTTTGAAAAATTACATAAATAATATATTTCAAGATAAGAGTGGAACAGTTAGGAATGTTAGCATTCTTGAAGTTTGTGTGTATATGCCAAATCTCACTGAACTACATTTAATTCTAGCACTTTTTAAAGTGATATTTTATAAAAATAAAATTTCTCAGTATCCAGGGTCAAATTCCATGGTTAAATTTCTAATGCTCATATCTCAAGGTACTTCACAAATAAAAATGGTCTTGGGCAGCACCTGTGGCTCAAAGGAGTAGGGCGCTGGCCTCATATACCAGAGGTGGCAGGTTCAAATCCAGCCCTGGCCAAAAACTGCAAAAAAAAAAAAAGTGGTCTTAAGATTCCTCTAGTCTTTTCTAATTAGGGTCATGCATTGAACACATTACAAGTATCAGGAGACTCTAGGTTTCTCAGCAGAAACTATAAAACAGAAGACTGTACACTAGAAAAACAGAAGCTTTCACTAGGATGGGTACCTAAGAAATAGTATGGCCTGGGCAGGGTGGCTCAGGCTTATAATCCCAGCACCTGGGGAGCCTAAGGTAGGAGGATTGCTTGATGCCAAGTGTTAGAGACTAGCTTGGGCAACATGTAGGCAAGTCCTTTCTCTACAAAGAATAGAAAAAAAAAATAGCTAGGCATAATATATGTACCCACATTTCTAGCTACTCAGGAAGCTGAGGCAGGAAGATGACTTGAGCCCAGGAGTTAGAGGTTACAGGAAGCTATGATCAACCACTCAAGCCACTGCACTCCAGCCTGGGCAACAGAGCAAGACCCTGTCTCTAAATTAAAAAAAAAAAGACAAAAACCATATCACTGTTACATGCGCCCATAAGCTATAATTTAGCACTTCCTTCCCAGCTATAAAAATAAGACTCAAGCATCCTGAAATATTTCAACTCCCTTATTCTCAAACATCTGCTTTATAACCAGAAAGTTGAAGAATACAAACGTTTTTATTCACAATTAATCATAAATAAAGTCCTCAAAATAGATAAGTTAATATCAAAATGTTATGCTCTTATTGGAATTGTAGCCCAAATCATCACCCATAAATCAGAAAGGAAATATATCATGTTTTTTAATTTGTTATAGAAAATGACCCATGAATTTATGTAGTCAATGTTCAAATACATGCAAAACATTGATATCTTGATTTGCCACCACTATTTGGTCTATGGAATGAATAAATAAATATGTAAAAGTGCCAAGGAAATCCTCCTATATAATAAGATCATGTTCCCACAGAAAACAGATTTCTTCTTTGGTGAGTTTCATCTAAGATTGTTGGTGTAGTCACCCCTCCATACCTAGGGTAATAATTCCGAACTTCAGCCTGAAAGTAAAACAACTAATACAAGCTAGAGAATAGGAGAATATTTTAAAAGTTGCCTGATAAAAGTTAGATGTCGAAGCAAATACATATGTATATGTATATCCAGTAGAACCTCTGTAAGTTTACTACACAAGGGACTATAACAAAGTGGTCCAAATACGGAAGTGGTCAACATGAGGAACTAGTCCTACTGCACATTAAGTATGCATAGTGCACATCCTATTTATGAAAATTAGGTCAACTTAAGGAGGTAGTCAATGTAGGGAGGTCATCAGCTATGGAAGTTCTACTGTATATAAATCATTTATATAGAAGTAGATAACTGAAATAGTACAGTATTGAATTTATGCTGCATATCTGATGCCATGTTAAGCATAAACTTTTCATTTTAACATAACTACATTTAATAATTATCTCTTAATAATTCTAATTTTAAACATGAAGAGCATGATTGAAACCTGCTTTCATATACCATATAAATCACCACATTAATTTAATAGCAATAAATTCATTGTAACATCCTGGGTAGGTATTATTTTGGCTAGATCCCTATACAGATGGCAAAGTAAAATTATGCAGAGTATGTTGGTGTTTTTATTCTTTTGGTCTTTAGCATCTATGGAAGCAAAACAAAGTTTACTCAAAATAAATAAAAGCAAATACGTGTGCTCATTACGTTCACTTACATGCCACTTCCAGAGACGCGTTTCGACTCACTGCTTCCCCAAGATAGTTCCTTGCAACACAAACGTAGCTTCCTTCGTCCGGTTTACTTCTACGTCCATGGACAATGCGCAGGAAGAATAAGGATCCACTGGGCAGAAGCATCCTGTGGGAACGGGGATCATCCTTGTCCGTCTCCACCCGCTCGCCATCCTTGTACCACTCAATGGTGGGAGTCGGCCGGCCCTCTGCCTTGCAGTTCAGAGTGGTGGGCTCTCCCTTAGAGACTATGACATCCGAAGGGTGCTCCACAATCCGTGGAGGAAAGTCTTCTTGGCGAAGACGAGATCCTGAAAGCATGACAGAATGGAGACAAGCTTTACTCCTTTTTATCTACATCTCCTATTTCACTTAGGTTCATGAAGATGATGTTAAACTGTTCAGTTCTTCAACTGAATTACTGAATATGCTTATTTTATCTACGTTTCACTCTTTTGTTCTTTAGGTGTGCCCTAAGTCATCCCAACTCCCTTGTGGAATGTGGCAATATAATAATAGCAATGAATTAATATGTTAATTCTAATGATTTAGGTTTAACATGTTCTATGCATCACGGTGAGCTAGAGTAAAAGACAGTAAGTGATTTTCTTTTGGGACCAACCTGTTGGAATGGGTACTAAGATGAATTATAAAACTAATTCCCAGGTCGGTGCCTGTGGCTCAAGGAGTAGGGCCCTGGCCCCATATGCTGGAGGTGGTGGGTTCAAACCCAGCCCTGGCCAAAAACCAAAAAAAAAAAAAAACCACCTAATTCCCCATCCTCAAAGTGTTGATCCTAAACTGGGAAAGAAAGCCAAGTGGACAAGTGCCTAGAACACACACACCATGCTGGTACTGTGTCACCAGACTTTAACACAAAAAGAGACCCACAAGTTATGTACAAATATTAACACTATATATTGTGAGTACATGGTCCCTAAAGCATATGAGATGTTTACAGAATACAGAAGTAACAATAAAAACCAAAAATAAAAAAGAAGATGCCAAAGTATTCAACTAATGAGGGGCCCATTATAGTTTGAAAGTCAGTAACATATTATTAAATGTAAAAGATCTGGACACATAGGCATAGACTCTGATCTTACATCAAGAGTTTTATGAACTTTTCATGTTACAGGTGTGTGGTATGCTGCAGTCAGTCACCTTGTTTGAGTATCCTTCTATGTGGTATCGGTAGGCAGTTAGCTACGTTCTCTTCACTGCAAAAATTATTCTACTGTTAAAAGTAAGAAAGTCAATTGTCCATGCCAGTATGTTGGTATTTATTACGTTATATTATAGTTCCCTACCTTAGTAGGCTTTGGGCCTTCATAAGGCATGAACAAGACCTGAAATACACTAATACTTATTAAATGGAATAAATATAATAGATTCATATAAGAAAAAAGAGGGGAAATATCAAGGCCATCTAATAATATGAGTTGGAATGAGCACTCAGAGAAACTCACTCATTCATCATCATTATGTAAAATAAACTGTGTGACATAGAGATGTTAGTGTTGTCACATCAGGATATTCTTCCAGTAACTTTACTCTCACTGTTATAACAACTTCAAAAGAACACCCACAATCTAAAAGTAAGAAGTAGAACTATAAAACGAATTTTTGTAGCCTTGCAATAAGCAAAATATTCTTGGATGGGAAGTCTTGGATGAGAGGTCAAAACCATAAAGGACAAAAGAAGAAACAGATAAATTGGACTTCACAACATTTATCAATGTTTGTGCTTGAATGCACACATCGACAAGTAAAAGACAATCCAAAGAATTTGAAAAAATGCTTTCAAATGATATATCGGATAAGGAATATATGAAATTTGGAACAAATTTGGAAAGGAAGTTAGAAGTTAGACAAATCACCAGGTAGCCCATGAAAAGATGCTCACGGTCACTAGATGTTAGGGAAATGCAAATCAAAACCACAGTGAGGTATATTCCACACTCACTGGGACAGCTATAATAAAGAAAAAATGTAAAATAAGAAGTGTCATGATATGAAAAAGGTAAAAGCCTCACACATAGCTGGTGGAAATATAAAATGGCACAGTCACTTTGTAAGAAAATCTGAATGCTTCTGAAAATGTCAAACATGTTTTCATACAAACCAATAATTCCATTCCGAAGTACATACCTCCCCATCTGAATCTGCATATCCACACAAAAATGTCTCCATGACTATTCATAGCAGTATTATTCACAATAGCCAAAAAGGTAAAAATAACTCTTAATGTCCATCAAGTGAATGGATGATGAATGAATGAATGTTCAAGATAAATAAATAAAATATGGTATATCTATACAATGAAATATTACTCAGCAACAAAAAGGAAGAAAGTATTCACATAGGTGAACATTGAATACAAGAATGGAAGCAGCTAGTCACAATGGACTAAATAAATGTTGTTATCATTCCATGTGAAATATCCAAAATAGAAAAATTTGTAAAGATAAAAAAGTACAGGGTGCTGCCCCAAAAGTCACCTATAATGTAGCCATACATAGGGAACATAGAAAATTGTATCTAAATGTACCTTTATTTAGAAAATATGCATTACAAAATTTTATGAAGAGATGGCCAAGAGGGAGAGAATATTTAGGGCTTGGGGGAGAGAGGACAGAGAAGTTACTGCTAACAAGGTGACATTTCTTTTAGGGGTGATGAAAACAATGTAAAATTGATTATGGTGATGGTTGCACTGTAATGTGAATGTAATTGAAAAACTATTGTACTGTACACATAAAATGGATGAATTTTATGATATGAATTATGCATTGTATCTCAAGAAGTTTTGTGATACTGTGAACACGTTTAATATAGGGTATGCAATGATTTGTATACACTCCTAACCACAACTGGGTCATTTTCTTCATTTCTAATTTTAGACTTTAAACATAATCATCAGGCCTACAGTAGCTATTTAGAGCATAAAATAAAGTTAAAAGTTGCTACCACCCAGATATAGAGAGAGATGCAGAGGTTAGAGACATAGAAAGACAAATATAAATGCATAAAAATACAGATATAATCTAAATTTCAAGATGTCATTTAATTAATTAAATTATGATCTCCCATAAATTCACATAATCACCCAACTGTCCTTCAGATGGAGTGAAGGGGATAAAACTTAGGTAATTCTATGAATTCTTTGAAATTGTGTATAAAATTGGGTATGATTGTGCAGGGTAGGGGTTAAGTAGTGGTAGTAGAGGCTGGCATAGTTTACATCAAATTTTGAAAGGTGTCTAAAAATACAAAAGGCTGGTCATTTGCATAGTTTAAGTTAGAACGTAGCACTAAACTACAGGGTATTTTCTGTTATTGGCCAAAACAACTCTATGATTTGGTCAAAAACCAAAACTGATTTGTCAGCCTAACTCATTGGGTCCACAGAACTGAATAGTAGAGGGGGCTGCTCATCACAGGACAGGCCATGAGAGTCTAACCCTATGAGTCTGACCAGGTGTACTCCCTCAAGGAGTAACACAAAGATGTGATGAATGCTTGAGGTGATGAATATCCCAATTGCTCTAAGTTGACATGATGTAAGATTGTATCAAAACATCACATGTAGCCCATAAATATAAACAACTGTTATGAGGGTGGATTGCCTGGACACAGGAGTTCAAGACCAGACTGAGTAAGAGTGAGACTCTTGTCTCCACCAAAATAGGAAAAAAAGAAAATAACCAGCCAGCTTTGCAATGGGTGTCTGTAGTCCCAGCTACTCCGTAGGCTGAAACAAGAGGATATCTTGACCTCAAAAGTTGAGGTTGCTGTGAGATAGGATACTACAGCACTCTATCTCAATAAATAAATTAATTAATTAACATTTTTTTTAAT